ACCATGGTCTAATAAAATTGCTCCATCGTGAGCAAAGCTAGTAAAAGATGAGAACCATGACTGTGTCCCACTGAGAAAGACAAGATACCTTGTTAAAAAAGAAATGTGAATTATTTTTGCAGAAGTCAACGAAAGGTTCCGTTGTCCTTGACCACGTATTTCGTCACATAAACCTTGTGGAGATAGATTATTTTGGGCTGCGTTACTGTGACAGAAGCCATCAGACGGTGAGTACAATGACTTTGTGTTACGTTTTTCTGGTTATAAATTTTACTCTATCTCTGGCCTTTCCTAACGTGGTTTTAGGTGCTTAGGTTCTTTGTAAGTGAAAATGACTTTGAAAACCTGACTTGTTTTCCCCTCATAATTCCTTTGCATTTTTTCTCTTCTGTCAAAAATCTGTAGAGTTGCTGGGTTCACAGCTTCTATGAGTGTACAGTTCTCTTTGCAGAGGGCTTACATGGTTTCCAGTTTTGCAACCATATTATAGTGAGTGCTTTCCATTTGTGCTGTTAGGAGGACTTACTAAATCACTCAGTGTGTGTTAGGAGACAAGTGGCTAGCCTCTTGAAGTGATATTATTGCTTTTTAAGAAAGGAAATGGTTAAAGAGAAGAAATACATACAGTGTAAAAAAAAATATAGTGCCTATCTCCTATCTAAGTTTTAAAAGTGGAATGAGCTGCTACAAAATAAGTAGAAATTTTCATTCATGAGCTTGATGGAATAAGAGCAATAAAGGCAACCTGGCTTTTGGTTCTGATGTCAATTATTCACAAGGGTTAACTCAGAAGAGAGTTATTAAGAAATTCACCACAGTGGAAAGACTTTGGAGGTGATGGTTTTGTAGGATGAAAGGATATTTATTCTTTAATGAGACTTTTGGTTTATTCTAGGAAAGATCTTAACCTCAGTTAGATACAGCCTCATTATGCAAAGTGCTCATGTTTACCTTAAAAATAGCCTATCTGATTTGCCTTTTATTTTTCATCTATTCAATTGCTATTGAAATAAAGATTTCCTCCTCTTCCTTCAACAGTTCTCCTGGCCTCCACTGGGTCATTTGGGGTGCATTCAGTGATATGATTTTCTGAGTGGTGTTTTAGTGCCCTGGTCCCAGGGATGTCCTAGGATGAAAAGAGACAGGCAAATGGAATGCTATTGATAGTGGTGACTTGTGATTTTTCTTAGGTCTGTAACCTGTCTTACAGGAGGATTTCACAAAGTAGGAGTGAAAAATTTGAGTGTGTTGGGTAGCTTTCCATAGAAAGACGTAACTTTCTAAAGGCTCCTGGTCATTAATGCATACTGCAAAGAAAGGGAACGGACTTCTTCAGAAGTTGACTGAATTCTGTCTTGTACAGGCCACAAGTAAACATAGCAGAACTGTAAATCTATACTGAAAGATTAAATTGAAGGTTATAGAAGACATCTTGCATTACATTCTTATTTTTGAAATAACATTTTTTCTAGCAGAGAAAATTGCAATTTCCTGATTTTATCTAGTATGTCAGACCTTGCCTGGAAACATCGACTCTCTTGCTAAAGTTATGTAGACCTTATCTGTCTCTTTCTCTTATTCTCTTTCTTTTTTTACTTAGCAAAGAAAAGAAAATGAGAAAAGCAAGAGAATTTCAAAACAATGGCCCCTAATGTTGAAAAAGAACTAGCAGTTAGTATTGATAGTTTATTGAAAGTTCGGTAGGGTTTATATTAAGACCAATGTTTTTTTAGTCTTACCTTCTAAGGTTTGGCATTTGTGCTAGTGTTTATAATATAGGTTTTAGGAGGAAATGAAATTAAATAGGCAAACTCTTAAGTCATATTGTTTTGATGTGGTAAGAACATCAGGTGTGTAAATGAAAAAAGTATTCTTTGCCTTCTGAGTTTGTTATTTCTTGCCAGTAAACTCAGATGAAACAGATAGTTTGTAAACATTGCCTAGTTTTTGCATGTTCAAATGTATTGTCTGATTCCTTTTAATTGTGGAAGGCGGTGAGGAGAAGGTTGACCACTTAGGTCAACTCTGGGGGCATATAAAAAAAAGAAAGTGGTGAAGCTGCAGGTAAAAGTGAAGAAAGATGACTAGGAAAGGAGAGATGGCTCCCAGTGAAAAGCCCTAGGCTTTCCCTCCTTTCTCCTTCTCTGCATTAGCCATGGATCATACTTTCCGGCCATGCCGGAACTCGGGCTGGGGCTGGGACTGGGGAGGGAACAGGCTGGGCAGCCTGCAGCTGTGGTCAACAAGCAAAATATGAACACGTGAGTGGAACTGGCAGTGGCAGAAAGTAAAAAAGTGTCAGGGAGGGCTTTGTGCCCATCTCACAGATTATGGGAGTTGCATGAGAAGATAGGCAGCCACTCTAGAGAGCTGGAGAGCAACATGCCTGATGAACATGTTTCCAGGATGGATGGGCCTCACATGGCAGGGAACTTATTGTCTGCCCTGGAGGACCAGGTGAACCAAGAAGCCTGGAACTCATCATTCATCATCAGCAGCACCCCCACCCCCATCCTCATCCTCCTCATCATCATCAGTGTGTTGGGAACTATAAACATTCTTCATAGGCTATCACATGCTCAGAACAACCCTACAAGATAAATACTATCATGCCATGAGAGGGGAAGAAACACCAGCTGAGAAGGTTAAGCACCTTTCCCAAGGTCACATAACCAGCACGTTGCTATCAGAATTCAAACCCAAGTCAGCATGTCTCCAGCACCTTTCAACCACTATAATATCCTGATGAAAAGGTTTTGCAGACTTAGGGTACTAAAGAATTCTTTTTCTGTGCAATTTACATACTTAATGTTTGTTGAGAGAGGAGTTGAATGGCATTTTTCATTAAGTAAACGTCTCAGATTGATCTTGTGGTAAGAGGGCTTATTTGGGCCTTCATGTGTTTGCGTGTTCCTGTGGCCATTCAGCAGTTACTTAATGAATGCCTGATATGTGCAGGCCATGTGTGAGAGTATTCTGTGTCTCGGGAACTCAGGGGAAAGGGAATTTACTGCCTGGAATATTACATGATATTTTTTTAAAAAGCAGAAGTGTTTTTATTAATAGCTGTGCGTTTCATGAAACAAAGTCCTGGGGAAATTCATATGACAGATGCATTGATTCAGGTGTTACCCATGTGTAAAGAGTAACAACTAGACACTAATACACCTTGTTGAAGCAAACTTCTCTCTAAGGCAGCGGTCCCCAACCTTTTTGGCACCAGTGACTGGTTTCGTGGAAGACAATTTTTCCACCGGGGAGTGGGGGGATGGTTTCAGGATGATTCAAGCACATTACATTTATTGTGCAGTCAAACCTCTCTGCTAATGGTAATCTGTATTTGCAGCCACCCCCCAGCGCTAGCATCAACACCTCAGCTCCACCTCAGGTCATCAGGCATTAGATTCTCATGAAGAGCCGCAACCTGGATCCCTCACATGCTCAGTTTACAGTAGGAGTAGGGTTCCTGCTCCTATGAGAATCTAATGCCTGTTGCTGATCTGACAGGAGGGGGAGCTTATATGGTGATGCAGGTGATGGGGTGTGCCTGTAAATATAGATGAAGCTTCGTTTGCTTGCCCGCCGCTCACCTCCTGCTGTGCAGCCTGCTTCCTACAGGCCACTGACTGGTACTGGTTCACTGCCTGGGAGTTGGGGACTGCAGCTCTAAGGAGTACAGCTGACTCGATTTGGAATACTCTGGGCACCATCATTTCTTAACTTTGGTTCTCAGGTAGTGTCTGTAAAAGAAACTCTAAGAAATAAAAACAGTTTTTCGCCAGGATGTGTTTATTGAGACTGAATTAACACAATGGAATGAAAGCTGCACACGTTAACTCAGTCTTTTAAAGAAGCCAACTTCTTGGCCAGGTGTGGTGGCTCATGTCTATAATCCCAGCACTTTGGGAGGCTGAGGTGGGAGGATTGCTTGAGGCCAGGAGTTTGAGACCAGCCTGGGCAACATAGGGAGACCCTGTGTTTCTGCTAAAAATAAATAATGAGAAAAACTGACTTCTTAAAGGTGCACCACGGGTTTGCATACTTGTAGTTCCTTTGCATAAAGACAAAGGGAAAGCACTTGGCTGGAGCATAGAGCCTGTTTTTTGTTCTATTTGCCTTGTTGCTTTCCAGGATCATTCTTGATTCAGACTGGTCTGTGTGAGGATGTAGGTCTCTTGTATCAGGGCCTTGGTTCAACTTACAGAAAACTCCCAGCCTGGATTTGAGGTGGGTATGAGGCAGTCTTTCATAGGGATTGTAAGAATGCTCTCGGGAGTCAGACCTGGATTTGTCTAATGATCCTGTCATTTACTAGTTACAAATATTTAATATTCTCTTAAAGTACTGACCATGAATGCAGAAGGGGCAGCACTAGAGAAGTTTGCTCCCCGCAGCATGTCCTAGGACTGCCTATCACCAGTTTAGCTGCCACCTCTGCAGGAACATCGTGCTCTCCTCATGTGGCCCGGCAGCTGTGCTGGGTGTGTCTTTGCTTTGAACGGACACCAGCTTTCTCTATGTGCTGCGGCCTAATCCCTGGCACCCGTGAATGTGAATGTGGAACCTTACATGGCAAAGGGACTTTGCAGATGTGATTAATTAAGCATCTTTAGGTGGGGAGATTATCCTGGGTTATGTAGGTGAGACCACTGTAATCACAAGTGTCCTCATATGTGAAAGAGGAGACGTCAGAAGACGCAACAATGGAAGCAGAGGTCAGAGTGATGCGATTATTGGAAGCGGCCTTAAGCCAAGGGGTTCAGGCAGCCCCTGGAAGCTGGAAAAGGCAATGAAACAGATTCTCTCCTAGAGCCTCCAGAAGGAATGTAGTCCTGCCAACACTTTGATTTTAGCCTAGTGAGATCCATTTTGGACTTCTGACCTCCAGAACTGTAAGATAATAAATTTCAATTGCTTTAAATCACCAAGTTAATGATAATTTGTTACAGCAATGAAAGGAAACTAATACTTGTAGATACAGTGGGAAGAGTTTTATCTTGTTTGCTCAATGGCAATATGAGGGCTTTCTTGTTTGGGTTCTTCACATTAGGCAGAAACCTGAAACTCTGTTACCTTCTCTGAGTAATAATATCATACATCCTCTGCTGCAGATGCTTAGGATGTCTTTGTGATTAGAGCTGCATGTGCATCCTCAGATGTTTATGAGCAATATTAGTTGCTGCTTCAGAAGTATTTTGGTTCCTTACGGGAGAGCGATGGCACGATC